GGAACGCCTAACTAATTCATGCTCAAACCAAGGTAGATGAGCGAAAAATAAAAAGAAATTTATTGAGACGCGAAACTACAAAATAACAAATAAAGGGTGATGTTTATTCGTTTTCAATGTCCTTAGGTTTTGTGAACGCCAAATGTCCTTTTTGGCCTAGAGCAGGCTAAACATCCTGTCAGACAACTGGACAAATTACGATCGCGTATAGTAGCAAAATATGACATTACTAATATTGCCATTACTTCAGCTATTACCACCAATAGTGTTAAGAACTAAACTATTACTAATATGTTAGTTAGGCTCTCTTAGAGTACTTATTTCTCTTAAGTATTACCATAGATAAAACTTAACTTAATCTTAAACTTAACTTTTTAAAATTTACTAATCATTGGTCACTAGCAAAACACACTAGGCCTAAATAATCGTCAATATTGACAATTATTTAAGCAACTTAATTTGAAAAAAAGGATATGAGAAATTTTAAACATTCCAGTATGCTTTTTGGTTTCCTATGTAGGTTTCGAACCCACCATAAGATCTGATATAAGAGCTATAATCACCATATTTCATTTAAGGCGACAAAGGAACAAAGAGATGAATAGGTCTCAAATTTTCATTGGATTTATCAGATTTGCTTCCAAGACGGTATTCTCTTCCAAGCATGCCTTGACTTTGCACGTTAACCACTACGCCATATTGCCACGAGTGCCTTTGAACGACAGGGCAGAATCGAAATTTTCTTCCTCTAAAATCCCACCACAGTAATATGATATTGAAAAGGGCTAGGCTTGCTTGAAATTCACCTCTTGCCTATGACCCAAAGGCACACATTACAGTGTAGTGTAAGGGCTAACCTGTCGAGACTATATGCTGCACTATCCGTGTTCGAGTATTGCTGGTGGTACTAATGATACCTGCGTGAGGTTAAAATATAACATCATCCTGGATGTTAATACTTTTTGAGAGACAGAGCTATGTGAAATTCAATGGATAAATTGATATTACTCATAGCAATGTGAGAAAGTTCAACTACCTGTCCTTCACCACCTTAAACGAAATATTGTGAGTGCAGCCCTTATTCCAGTATGATTTTTCAGAAAGTATAATCTTGTTTCGTGTTTTGATATTTTAGAGATGGATAATCAAAAAGAAAAGTGAAATATAATCTTGATTTTTAATAAATAGTATTTTACTTTGTATAAACATAGCATATTCAAACTCCTCTCAGAATTTTTAAATTGTCAAGGTCAAAATTTAGGTCAGCTTATGTTGAGAAACAAATCTTGAAATGCTTTTTAGAACATTAATGGACCAAACCAAGTCTTCGCCACTGTTCCATCCATTAGACGTAAAAAGAAATCAAATTTTGATGTGCATAAGGAGATTCGTAGGTCAGTCTCACCAGAAGACGCCGACTGATTCCTGCAGTACTGCAGCCTTTAAAATTTGATACAACGTTTAGGTTGAGACAGTCCACTGTGCATCTTCGAACGTCGTCGCCCGAAACGTTGGAGGTGGTCTGGTGGACTGCATTGACCTAAACGTTGTATCAAATTTAAAAGGCTGCAGTACAGCAAGAATCAGTCGGCGTCTTCTGGTAAGACTGACATACGAATCTCCTTATCCTTAATTTTTCAGATAAATTGTGTGCTGAACCTGACTCAATTCAAGCGTAATTATTTAAATTACAAAATTTATCCAACAAGCTTTGCTACATACAATACATTTAATCTCATTTATATGAATTAACGTATGTATCCTTCTATATAAACAGAAACCCAAACAAGCCAAACTTAAAGACACAATTACAACCAATGGAATCCGCGATATTTTGGCCGAGTACAAATGGTTCTGACAAAGCTGTAGCAATTCTTAAGTTATGTAAGTGGACAGTAGTTATCAGCATCTATCTCAGCCCTATTTCTTAATTTAAATGCACTCTTCTTATTACCATTAATTTAAAAAATGCACACACTTTTCAGAATTTTCATACCAGAATAATTGCTAGTGTGGCTACCTCTCTATAGTCGAAGAAGCCTTCGGGCCGATGTTAACACATGCTATCATCTATTTAGACAAAACGATCCATACTAGTGTGTATTATTAGTTCATGAGATGTATTAGTTTGTTGTCAATTTTTAAAAAAATATTTAAGTACACTAAAATATTGAGTAAGATATTTGAATAATATTGCACTAAGAAAAATCCTACCCATCATTTTATTTAAAATTTACTGTGTAACTATTACAATCCCTCTTAGCAAATCGCATGCTTGCGACGGAAGAAGGTGACACAATCGCATTACATATTGAGCAGGGTTTAAGGCCCGCCAAGTTAGCTGTCTGGAACAAGCTGATTCCGAGTCTGGTTCAAAGGGGTCGGAAGCTGACGGATAGTAGGAATCAGCAAAAGCTAAACAAAGATACCATCACGGAATTCGGAGGGGACGCCTTGAGTCAGCAGAGTGCATTAAGAACGAAGAGCATTGGTAAGCACTAAGTTTCATACACATTTTGATAAATTGTGAGTAAGTTGTAGAAAGTGTTTATTTTTATACTTTATTAATCATGCATAGCGTAAACAACCGTCTAGAGAAACCACTCTGAGTTAAATAGGATATCATCTACCTAAAGCTGTACTCCTAGAGGATCGAAGTTAAATTTCGCCAAATTAGGGGCTGAGTAACTTAAAGGTAGACACTCCCACCTTATAGTAATCGGGAATCTTGCTCAACTGAAACAATTTTGCATACTTTGAATTGTATGATAAATAGTTGATCTGATTATCGTGCTTTTATTGTGCAACACTTTCAGCGTCAACAAATAAGCTTTTCAAGTTAGATTGATAAAGCACTTTCTTAATCATTATTCAAAAAGTGTCAGTGCCTAAGTGACTTTAGTTATTCTGATATTTTTTAATATTCCATGCTTGCCCTCGTTTATTGTTCATTTAAAAGCGATGCGGCCTGTTCGCAGGACCCGAATTTCAACTTGAAAATAGTCAGATGTTAGGCTTAGTATTCGATTACATGCATATACAGTGGGATGAAAAAGGGGGGAAAAAGCCTATGGAGACATAAAATATTCAATTATTTTTATATTTTTGCATTATTCATTATTTAAGAAAAAAATTTCGTTAATAAATTTTTACTTACCAAACCCAGACACTTCACATGTGCTACGGAATTTGTAACGACCCCATATACAAACATATATGGTCAAAACCAAAAGAAACGCGTAATATGTGATTTCATATTTACTACAGATATTTCTTGATTTGGCTATTTATCGGTTTATCTACATCCTAAAGAGACATTTGGTTGATCTAACTTAAACGTACAAGTATACCCTTTTTAGAAAAAAATTGGACCTATTTTAGAGCATAAGCTCTTGAATTACCCTCATTCTTCTGTGATAGATTCTTGCTGTGATCGTACTAAAATGGGTAAAAAAAGCATCATAAAATATACTTTCAAATGCTGAGCTCTACCTTCCAATAAAAATAAGACGGAAACCGATATCACTTTTTTAAATTTTACTTTACCGACTAAAATATCAGTGCTTGAAACATAATTCGGCCAACAGTGCCTCCTTAACCATAACACGATGCTAAGTA